TGGCTTACAAATGTGGGTTAGTCTGAACTCTCCTAAAAAGATCGCAGAAAATTTGCAGCAGTGATCAAGTGCATAATGAAGAGTAGTTGATGAAAAGAACGTTGATGGCCAATGGTTCTCTCGAGAAGTTCATCGAGCATTACCGAAAGCCTAGAAAAGCATGCGAAAGGCCTTTACGGTCGATGAGAAGCAAGTTTTTACTATTTAACCTTTTAAAGGTGACCACTTTTCCAATCAAATAAATAGAAATCTTAATTCAGCTATTAGGCTTTCATACACAGCTGGGAATTTCGACTGTTGCATACCATCAAAAGGTCAAGCTTCAAAAATCGCTCACAGAGTCTTCCCGATCCCAAAGTCTCACATGTTGTCTATCAGTTCACTTTCAATTGCGATGACTCATACGGTGGCTAGATAAATCGCTGCTTGGCACAACGAATGTCGTAGCACTACCCAAATGGTTGGCAAAATCAATGACACAAGGCAATGCGACCGCAGAAGATGACGTCAAACCTCTAGCTTCTTCAACTACAAATCACCTAATTGCGCCGAGTCACATGGTTGACCTGACAAAATCCTTCACAGTGTTATTGAGCAATCCCAAATCGAACCTGCTGACGTTCAGTGAAGGGATGCTATCATGATGCATCATCCGGCGCTTTGAGCACAAAAACGGTTGAAACAAAATGTTTGTTTGTCTTCACACTAACCGAACAGACTTCTCCCTCATTCTACCGAAAGCATGGCCATGGTTTTCAATTCAGCCCTCTCCACTGCACCTTTTTTCTCGCTGTATGATATATAAGCCAAAATGCTTTACGTACGCGGTAGGCTAGAGTACACGGAAAGCTTGCATCTCGCGACTTATGCCTTCTTTCTGTTCCCACGATGTACACAATTCTCGGCTTATTATTTGGGAGACTCGGAGAAGTAATCTTAAGCGATATAAAGCCATTCCGTTGCAAACAACTACATGATGGGCACTGTTGATATTTGCAAACATACAAGTTAAAGAGCAGTGATATATGGTTTGGCTTGGCACAGAGGATCACCAGTGGCAATTGTATAGCAAGTCTCTAGCAAAAGACAAGGAACGGCAATTTCAAATTTTTTACCTATGCCGAACTAACGCCCCTCAACAACTTTTTAAATTTCAGATTAACCTTTCCCGACAATAATTTTCAGCGAGGGGTGGACCGCAAAATGTGAGACATTTTTTTGCATCATTCTGTCACAACTCAGGCATGTGATGTTTCGTGTTTGCTTACTAATGGTAATCGTTGCAGTTCCGCATCAGTTCCCATGTTTGCGAGATGGTTTTAAGTATTTTGACAAGGTTAATCAACTTATCATCAAAATCAGTTATGTGAATTTCGCTGACATGCTAGCAATCTAACAAATGTTCTTGTAGCGAAAAACATCGAGATTGTTTCTTCGGTACGAGGATAGACGAGTAGAATAAAATAGCAACACTACTCCCCATTTAGAAACGTTACTGTTAGTTCTAAAGTGGGATGTTTCATACTTCGATAAATCGTGAGAGTAGCCACAGAACTCTTTACACAAATTTCTTTCATCATAAAAGATGAAGCCGACAATCGACTACGATTTCCGGACCAAGACATTACCCATCGGGAAAATTCATCGATAGTCCACCTAGATAAAGTAATTCCTGAACTCTCAACGTAAGGTTCTCATTCGTTACAAGAGTGGACCATTATGCTCATAAATGAAACATTAAAGGGGAATTCATTTAAAAAGAGATGCCATAATTGAATGGTAATTCATATTTTTTCCTTCAAAACAATCAATCAAGAATCCTCTACAGCCCCACGAGCCGCTATTTGATGAATTTTACAAAGGCTACTGCAGGCCGTCGACCTTTCAAATAGGTAGTTACTATATTCTTTGCACGCAGGCCGAAGTACCCATGCATCACTTTCTATTTGCAGTGGGCACCAAAGGAGAAGCAGTGCCATGGTTTTATAAAAAAAAACCATGCATACTCACTTTACTGTTTTCTCTTCATAATTTTGAATTCAATCCTAATCGTTTTCCGCTTAAGTTGCAATGTGGCGAAACAATTGGAGCACAGAACAAAGTTCACAAACGTCCATGCCTCTTATTTAGTCTGTGAAACGACTGGTAATGAATTGCTGTGAAACAAACACTTTGTCGAACCTGAGTTTTGCCTGACAAGATGGGTATTTTCTTGATATTTGAGCAATCATATTTTTACGTTTCATTTTTTCCAGCCGTTTCTGTTTTTTGAGTCAAACAGTTTTCCCCATGGAAAGGAAGACATTCCTCATTCATTTATTCGTGCATCAAGAAACGTTAGACAGCGGCCAGTAATCACGTTCTTCATATGACTAGTTGCAGAACAGGCAAATTAAAAGTTTCCCCACTTCATCTCACATAAACGCTGAGTGCCGATTGGCGTGTAGAAACTGAAAAACGTTGCCTACTTTTCAACACGGGCAATTTTGAGCAGTAGCATGCTGATTGTTTTTGTCCGTTGACCAATATTTTGTCATGCCAGATGAACCATAATTATCAGAATTGTCAAGGAACAACTTGATCTGTTGGTTGATTGATAGGAACTGCATTTATGGTGAATAATGGTATATCGGAATACTCTAACCACTAAATCCGATTGGACAGGAAAATTCTGGAGATCAGTGCAGTTGTTATGACAGCATATGTTTTGCAATCTCATTTGCTTTTTACTATGAACTTTTCCCGTGTCCGAGTTCCATTTTACGGAATTTCATATTGATCAAACCGTCAATTTAGTTTCGCCTGGTAACTTGAAACCTCGTTTTTTTAAATAACTCAGAAAACAATGTCACTTGAATACGGAGTTAACTGTGTCGCTATCGTCATACTTCTGTTCTCTTCGTCAAATTGATGAATTTTGTTTATATCACCCAGCCAGGCACATAGAACTTTGAAAATATAAACAGAAATGTCAATAAAAATCATACATCTGTTCCCGTGTATTTTTCACCATTTGGGACATCAGTTTAGTGCAGCTCATCGTCACAGTGAAAGTGTAATTTATTTAACTATCTCGCTAATATTATTAAAGGTTTGAGCACTCCCAAACGCACTTGGAGCGAATGGTCTCCGCCAATCGATAGGCAACTACGACAATCCATGAGAAAGTAAATCGTTCGATTTCTGTTCCGAGAAAATTGCTAATTTTCTCGGGAGTGTTCCTGGGTGAAAAAACGGTGATTTTCGCTACAATGCACCAAAGGGATTTGATTTCATGTTCGTACATTGGAGAACGAAATATTTCTCACATGAAAATTTATCGCTGAGATATGAGTGGAAGGAAACTGAGAATAAGGAAAACTTTTCTTCCTTTTCATAGATATGAATCATCCAAACAAAACTATTAGTATCATAGATGCACCCCGGAATATTGAAAGGCCTCATCACACACGTCAAACGTATTTGGACTTATTGTAAAACAGTGAGCCGGCCGACTTAAGTATTGCTTCTCCATTATTTATGCACACTGTAGACAAAATATCAAAGATTTATAAAGATCAAGCACATCCATTGACAAATGGAGAGTATCCGATGGAATAATGAGTGCTGACTGTTTTGGTCAACAAAACAAATTTGGGAAGCGAATTTGTTATGTACTCTGTGACGATACAAACCAAAGGTGATAACTGAACTTGTGTCAGCCTGATTTGTCAATGAATACTCAGAAACATTTTATATAATAAACATATTTTAGCTGGTTACACTCTGATTCTTGTATTCCTAAAAAACTGAGCAGCGTATAGGGGTACTCTTCAATCATCGAGACTCGTCGACGCAAGCAAATATACGTTTTCTTTGTTGAAACGGAAATTCCTGATCATTGCATGGGGGATATTTATTCTTTTGCACACTCAGACACAGTATACGGCGATTGTGAGCCTGGTCATGTCAAGGAATACGCTGACGAGTGGAAGGGTACGTGAGGCAAAACTACAAATAATTACAGGTGCATTTAGAGCATATGATTGTATCAGACCAACCAAGAGCTCTCGACACGTGGCACGTTCTGATTGTGCAACGCCGTTCCGGACGGATAATTATTGGCAATAACGCTATGCGTGTGTCCAGTTGCAGGTGTATGACTGTATGTGACATGGATTATTGATCCACTGAGTGCACATGCAGTTGTGCTTTACTCGCCGTTTTCGCACAAAATCGTTTAGAAGAAAAATCACATCTCCCTCACTGGCCAGGCAAATGATTGTTGCTATACTATCCGAATATTTCGTTATATAAAATAACCTAGGGAGGACCCTGGATAGATATCAGTTATGCAAATGATACGACGAACACGTTTTGAAATTTTGGTTATTCAAACCAAGGGGCGGTATGCAGATGAAAGGTTTTTTGCTACTATTCACTCACAAATTAACTGATATCTTCCGGCAAGATCGTTTGTTACGGCCTAACATTCGTCATTACGCTAAAGGAGACTAATTGTTACTTTACAAATTATTTTGAATGAGTGATCTGGATAGTGTTCATTTTTGTTCGACGCGTTGAGAGCTAGTTTCAAATGATACGGCAGTGAAAGCCTATCGTCGTACGTGTGTGAACTTTACAACCACATGCACGTTTACGGCTATCCACGGTTTTGTAAAAAGTAAGATACACAACGCACCACTTCAATTCCCACTAACCAGTTGCTCCCATGAATTTAACGGGGAGACTTCCTGGTAATGAAACATTGTTTAGAAAATTTTATCAGTTTAAGACATGGAAGTTAGTAGTTTAGCCCATTAAGCTTTGCGCTGAGTTGGAATAACCTAAACAAAGGCAATTCAACTCTGTTTTCTTCCGGCATTAGCGAAGACGGATGCAAAAAATTAAAAAAATATCCGTTTGCGCCAGAGACAATACTCTATTTGTTAGGTAATGATTAACAAACAGTAAACGTTTTTAATGGTAAACAGTGTATCGGCAGCAAGTATATGTATCCGCTACTGGATCAATCCAAGACAATTTAACGCGAATGTGAGGAAAGCCATGTGACTGGAGAGTCTCGAAGTGCCATTTGAAGAAGCTGTAAAATGGAAGCTGATTAGGAATTAGACACAGTTGGGTGCAATAAGCTTATTCCGAATCAAAGTCATGTTCGAAAGTGAAGAAGATTTTCCAAGGCAGAAAAGGACATATTCTAACAGGAATAAGATGGAACACAAATAATTTCCCCAAAACCATTTGCGAAAAGAATATACCTATAAGAAAAAACAGCGCCCGTTAGCAAATCAGGCTTACCTGTAGTATGGCTTTCTGCAAATAAAGCAGGTAATACAGGGAAGAAAAGAAGGAAGAAAAGAAAACAAATTCGTCGAAAATTCAAAAATATCCAAGAACAAATTATAAAATGAAAGAAAAATTGCCCAAAAGCAGAAAGAACATAATAACAGAGAAAACGAACACTGGGAAAAACACAGAAAAAAGAAGGATATATATAAAATAAAAGTTTAACTGAGATGAGCATCAAAGGAGAGGGAACGGATAAAAGAAAATTATTAAAAAAAAGTGTAAAACGAAATCAATCGGAAAATACAGTCGCGGAAGGACTCAGAGAAGAATCGGTACAACTGATGGGCAACAAATAAATGAATGTACTATTGGTCAGATAACTGAATTGCACATTCACTTCGAATAGTTTGCTAGATAACAAACGTTTGATTTGTGTTTTTTGTTTTTGTTTTGTTGTTCCTGATCATCAAATCATTCGAGTACTTAGATCTATCTGATGGGAACATTTGAGAGACTAATTTTCAGTGCCCAAAATTCGTGTGTCATTTTCAATTCGAATGTCCAACCACATGGTGTTTATCTGCGTTAGCAAATAAGTGCCGATAAGGAGAAATGAAATGGGAATCCGTTCGTCTATTGCACAGTGGAATTGCCAAATGCAAATTGCTTGTTGTGGCAAACAGACGAATCGAATTGGTACGAGCAACAGAAGCAGCGTAATCCTTCTTGTTCCACACGATCCGTGAAGTGAATCATGAAGAATAAATGAACAAGACCAAAGTGCAACATGATCAATCACAGCTCACCTCTGTCTCCTTCTGACTCTTGCTTAGAATCTACAATCAAGAAAGATGAGAAACGAACAATGTACACTGATTGATGTATCTAATCGAATGAGAACAATCATACAATAATACCGTTTGTATTTGAGTGGACTGTGAGTATTTAATAAAATGACACAGATTCGGTTGACGCTTGTCGACTGCCACAGTTGAATTTTGAAAACAATTGTGCCCAAATGCGACCAGATGGGGAAAGTGGACAATTCAGTATGTTTTGTTCGTTTGTTTGTTCCATTTTGAAACAGGTGTGGCTTTAGCGCTTTCTCATTTTCTGTAGCTCGTTTCGAAATATGTTCAAGTCAAATGAGTACAAATCGGTTTCATGTGGACCGTTGTGAGCAATCAGCAGTCCATATTTATCCATTCTCAATTGGGACTGGAAAATCAATCACATGGATCATTATGAGTTGTTGTTCATTCATGATTCGTTCACGTGGAACAGGCCCATCAGACTGAAAATCGTTCAATTCGTGTTCCGATGCAAGTTAGAAGTCGGTCAATATGCACTTGTTCTAATTGTGAACAAGTGAGTCAGATGAAACACGTGTAAACAGTGCTCATATACTGTTTGTTCGTCAGTTGAGCACTCATATTCTATATTGAATCATTTGATCGGCAACAAATAAATGAATGTACTATTGGTCAGATAACTGAATTGCACAGTTCACTTCGAATAGTTTGCTAGATAACATACGTTTGATTTGTGTTTTTTGTTTTTGTTTTGTTGTTCCTGATCATCAAATCATTCGAGTACTTAGATCTATCTGATGGGAACATTTGAGAGACTAATTTTCAGTGCCCAAAATTCGTGTGTCATTTTCAATTCGAATGTCCAACCACATGGTGTTTATCTGCGTTAGCAAATAAGTGCCGATAAGGAGAAATGAAATGGGAATCCGTTCGTCTATTGCACAGTGGAATTGCCAAATGCAAATTGCTTGTTGTGGCAAACAGACGAATCGAATTGGTACGAGCAACAGAAGCAGCGTAATCCTTCTTGTTCCACACGATCCGTGAAGTGAATCATGAAGAATAAATGAACAAGACCAAAGTGCAACATGATCAATCACAGCTCACCTCTGTCTCCTTCTGACTCTTGCTTAGAATCTACAATCAAGAAAGATGAGAAACGAACAATGTACACTGATTGATGTATCTAATCGAATGAGAACAATCATACAATAATACCGTTTGTATTTGAGTGGACTGTGAGTATTTAATAAAATGACACAGATTCGGTTGACGCTTGTCGACTGCCACAGTTGAATTTTGAAAACAATTGTGCCCAAATGCGACCAGATGGGGAAAGTGGACAATTCAGTATGTTTTGTTCGTTTGTTTGTTCCATTTTGAAACAGGTGTGGCTTTAGCGCTTTCTCATTTTCTGTAGCTCGTTTCGAAATATGTTCAAGTCAAATGAGTACAAATCGGTTTCATGTGGACCGTTGTGAGCAATCAGCAGTCCATATTTATCCATTCTCAATTGGGACTGGAAAATCAATCACATGGATCATTATGAGTTGTTGTTCATTCATGATTCGTTCACGTGGAACAGGCCCATCAGACTGAAAATCGTTCAATTCGTGTTCCGATGCAAGTTAGAAGTCGGTCAATATGCACTTGTTCTAATTGTGAACAAGTGAGTCAGATGAAACACGTGTAAACAGTGCTTATATACTGTTTGTTCGTCAGTTGAGCACTCATATTCTATATTGAATCATTTGATCGGCAACAAATAAATGAATGTACTATTGGTCAGATAACTGAATTGCACAGTTCACTTCGAATAGTTTGCTAGATAACATACGTTTGATTTGTGTTTTTGTTTTTGTTTTGTTGTTCCTGATCATCAAATCATTCGAGTACTTAGATCTATCTGATGGGAACATTTGAGAGACTAATTTTCAGTGCCCAAAATTCGTGTGTCATTTTCAATTCGAATGTCCAACCACATGGTGTTTATCTGCGTTAGCAAATAAGTGCCGATAAGGAGAAATGAAATGGGAATCCGTTCGTCTATTGCACAGTGGAATTGCCAAATGCAAATTGCTTGTTGTGGCAAACAGACGAATCGAATTGGTACGAGCAACAGAAGCAGCGTAATCCTTCTTGTTCCACACGATCCGTGAAGTGAATCATGAAGAATAAATGAACAAGACCAAAGTGCAACATGATCAATCACAGCTCACCTCTGTCTCCTTCTGACTCTTGCTTAGAATCTACAATCAAGAAAGATGAGAAACGAACAATGTACACTGATTGATGTATCTAATCGAATGAGAACAATCATACAATAATACCGTTTGTATTAGAGTGGACTGAGAGTATTTAATAAAATGACACAGATTCGGTTGACGCTTGTCGACTGCCACAGTTGAATTTTGAAAACAATTGTGCCCAAATGCGACCAGATGGGGAAAGTGAACAATTCAGTATGTTTTGTTCGTTTGTTTGTTCCATTTTGAAACAGGTGTGGCTTTAGCGCCTTCTCATTTTCTGTAGCTCGTTTCGAAATATGTTCAAGTCAAATGAGTACAAATCGGTTTCATGTGGACCGTTGTGAGCAATCAGCAGTCCATATTTATCCATTCTCAATTGGGACTGGAAAATCAATCACATGGATCATTATGAGTTGTTGTTCATTCATGATTCGTTCACGTGGAACAGGCCCATCAGACTGAAAATCGTTCAATTCGTGTTCCGATGCAAGTTAGAAGTCGGTCAATATGCACTTGTTCTAATTGTGAACAAGTGAGTCAGATGAAACACGTGTAAACAGTGCTCATATACTGTTTGTTCGTCAGTTGAGCACTCATATTCTATATTGAATCATTTGATCGGCAACAAATAAATGAATGTACTATTGGTCAGATAACTGAATTGCACAGTTCACTTCGAATAGTTTGCTAGATAACATACGTTTGATTTGTGTTTTTGTTTTTGTTTTGTTGTTCCTGATCATCAAATCATTCGAGTACTTAGATCTATCTGATGGGAACATTTGAGAGACTAATTTTCAGTGCCCAAAATTCGTGTGTCATTTTCAATTCGAATGTCCAACCACATGGTGTTTATCTGCGTTAGCAAATAAGTGCCGATAAGGAGAAATGAAATGGGAATCCGTTCGTCTATTGCACAGTGGAATTGCCAAATGCAAATTGCTTGTTGTGGCAAACAGACGAATCGAATTGGTACGAGCAACAGAAGCAGCGTAATCCTTCTTGTTCCACACGATCCGTGAAGTGAATCATGAAGAATAAATGAACAAGACCAAAGTGCAACATGATCAATCACAGCTCACCTCTGTCTCCTTCTGACTCTTGCTTAGAATCTACAATCAAGAAAGATGAGAAACGAACAATGTACACTGATTGATGTATCTAATCGAATGAGAACAATCATACAATAATACCGTTTGTATTAGAGTGGACTGAGAGTATTTAATAAAATGACACAGATTCGGTTGACGCTTGTCGACTGCCACAGTTGAATTTTGAAAACAATTGTGCCCAAATGCGACCAGATGGGGAAAGTGGACAATTCAGTATGTTTTGTTCGTTTGTTTGTTCCATTTTGAAACAGGTGTGGCTTTAGCGCCTTCTCATTTTCTGTAGCTCGTTTCGAAATATGTTCAAGTCAAATGAGTACAAATCGGTTTCATGTGGACCGTTGTGAGCAATCAGCAGTCCATATTTATCCATTCTCAATTGGGACTGGAAAATCAATCACATGGATCATTATGAGTTGTTGTTCATTCATGATTCGTTCACGTGGAACAGGCCCATCAGACTGAAAATCGTTCAATTCGTGTTCCGATGCAAGTTAGAAGTCGGTCAATATGCACTTGTTCTAATTGTGAACAAGTGAGTCAGATGAAACACGTGTAAACAGTGCTCATATACTGTTTGTTCGTCAGTTGAGCACTCATATTCTATATTGAATCATTTGATCGGCAACAAATAAATGAATGTACTATTGGTCAGATAACTGAATTGCACAGTTCACTTCGAATAGTTTGCTAGATAACATACGTTTGATTTGTGTTTTTGTTTTTGTTTCGTTGTTCCTGATCATCAAATCATTCGAGTACTTAGATCTATCTGATGGGAACATTTGAGAGACTAATTTTCAGTGCCCAAAATTCGTGTGTCATTTTCAATTCGAATGTCCAACCACATGGTG